CTAAGCCACAATGTGAGATACAAATATGCATTTTTCGCCATTTCCAGAACTCAATTTTCAAAATCCCATTGGATCCGATAGGATAGAAAATTATGTCAATGCTAAGCTACAATGTGAAATACAAATATGCATTTTTCGCCATTCTCTGAACTCAATTTTCACCATCCCATCGGATCCGATAGGATAGAAAATTATATCAATGCTAAGCCACAATGTGAGATAGAAGCATGCATTATTCGCCATTTCCAGAACTCAATTTTCAAAATCCCATCGGATCCGATAGCATAGAAAATTATATCAATGCTAAGCTACAATGTGTGATATAAATATGTATTATTCGCCATTTCCAGAACTCAGTTTTCAAAATCCCATCGGATCCGATAAGATAAAAACTTATATCAACGATGGCCTTCAATCGCGACATAGTGGTATGTATTTTTGACTATTTCCAGAATTCAATTTTCAAAATCTCATTGGATCTGATCGGACAAAAATTTATATCAACAATGAGCTCCAAGCGAGATATGTAGAGACACACTTTTGACAATTTCTAGAACTCAATTTTCAAAATCCGATCGGATCCTATAGGATAGAAAGTTATATCAATGATAAGTTTCAATGCAGATATGTAGGTATGAATTTTGGGCCATTTCCAGAAGTGAATTTTTAAAATCCGATCCGATTCTATAGGATAGAAACTTATATCAATGGTAAGCTCTAATGGAGATATATAAGTATGCCATTTTCGGCATTTTCAGCACTTAATTTTCAAAATCCGATCGGATCCTATAGGATAGAAACTTATATCAATGCTAACCTTGAATAGAAGTATGTAGGTATGCCTTTTTGGCCTTTTCCAGAAGTCAATTTTCAGAATCCGATCGGATCCTACAGGATAGAAACTTATATCAATGCTAACCTTGAAGAGAAGTATGTAGGTATGGCTTCTGGACCATTTCCAGAATTCACTTTTCAAAATCCGGTCGGATCCTACAGGATAGAAACTAATATGAATGGTAAGCTGAAATACAGATATATAGGTATGCCTTTTTGGCTTTTCCAGAAGTCAACTTCCAGAATCCGGTCGGATCCTATAGGATAGAAGCTTACATTAATGCTAAGCTTCAATTGAAATATATAGGTACGCCTTTTTGGCCATTTCCAAAACTGAATTTTCAAAATCCGATCGGATCCTATAAGATACATACTTATATGAATGCTTAGCTTTAATAGTTATATGTAGGTATGCCTTTTGACCACTTCCAGATTTAATTTTCAAAATCCGAGCGGATCCTATAGGACACAAGCTTATACGAATGGTAAGCTCCAATGGAAATATATGGGTATGCCTTTTTCATCACTTCCAGGATTCAATTTTCAAAATCCGATCGGATCCTATAGGATACATACTTACATCAATGCTTAGCTTTAATAGTTATATTAGGTATGCCTTTTGACCACTTCCAGACTTAATTTTCAAAATCCTATCGGATCCTATAGGATAGAAGCTTATATCAATGGTAAGCTCCAATAGAGATATGTGGATATGCCTTTTTCATCACTTCCAGGACTCAATTTTCAAAATCCGATAGGATCCTACAGGATAGATAGTTATATCAATGCTTGGTTCCAATCGAGATATGTAGGTATACATTTTTGGCCAGTTCCAGAAGTCAATTTTCAAAATCCGGTCGGATCCGATAGGATAGAAACTTAGATCAATGCTAAGATTGAATACACATATGTAGGTATACCTTTTCGGCCATTTGCAGAACTCAGTTTTCAGAATCCAATCGGATCCTGTAGGATAGATACTTATATCGATGCTTAGCTTTAATAGTTATATGTAGGTATGGCTTTTTGATCACTTCGAGAACTTAATTTTCAAAATCTGATCGGATCCTATAGGGCAGAAACTTATATTAATGCTACGCTCTAATGGAGATATATAAGTATGCCTTTTTAGCCATTTCCAGAACTCAATTTTCAAAATCCGATAGGATCCTATAGGATAGAAAGTTATATCAATGGTAAATTCCAATGGTGATATATAAGTTTGAATTTTTCGGCATTTCGAAAACTCAATTTTCAAAATCCGATCGGATCCTATAGGATAGAAACTTATATGAATGCTAACCTTGAAGAGAAGTATGTAGGTATGGCTTTTGAGCCATTTCAGAACTCAGTTCTCAGTGTCCGATCGGATCCTATAGGATAGAAGCTTACATTAATGCTAAGCTTCAATTGAAACATATAGGTACGCCTTGTTGTCCAGTTCCAGAACTGAATTTTCAAAATCCGATAGGATCCTATAGGATAGATACTTGTATGAATGCTTAGCTTTAATAGTTATATGTAGGTATGGCTTTTTGATCACTTCGAGAACTTAATTTTCAAAATCTGATCGGATCCTATAGGGTAGAAACTTATATTAATGCTAAGCTCCAATTGAAATATATAGGTACGCCTTTTTGGCCATTTCCAGATCTGAATTTTCAAAGTCCGATCGGATCCTATAGGGTAGAAACCTATATCAAAGATAAAGTCCAATGGTGATATGGAAGTTTGGATTTTTTGGCATTTCGAAAACTCAATTTTCAAAATCCGATCGGATTCTATAGGATAGAAGCTTATAGCAGTGCTAAGCTCGAATGGAGATACGTAGATGTACATTTTTGCCATTTCCAGAACTCAGTTTTCAAAATCCCCATCGGATCCAAATGGTAGAAACTTATATTAATGATAAGCTCCAAGCGAGATATGAAGGTAGGCATATTTGCTCATTTCCAGAACTGAATTTTCAAAATCCGATGTGATCCAATAGGATAGTAACTTATATCAGTGCTAAGCTCGAATGGAGATATCTAGGTATACATTTGTTGCCATTTCGAGAAATGAAATAATTCAACTGAATTCAATATCATATTCCTTTTTGAACAGTTTCGAAACTAAAAATTTTCTGTTTTATGAATTTATGAATATACTGAAAAGATTCTACGTTTGAAACGATTTTTGTCACAACGGATAACGACATGTTGTTTTAGTGTATATTTTGGTCAATTGGGCAGAAACATAGAATCGAACTTACTACTTCTGTACTTCAGCACTTCTTTTAGTTCGTACTTCATAGAAACCTGTGTGCTCATGTTGAAAACAGACAGTTTGTTGTTATCAGGTCAACAAGCTTTCTCGCGGATAGCCGCATTTTATAAGTTCCTTGATCAAGGCATTATATACTAGAAAAAATAACTATTCTGCTGCACCTTAATCCAAAACCTATATTAAACACACTACGTTTCAGTGGCTATAAATCATGAAACTTTCCGGCTCACATAAGGTAAAATTTAGATTCCAAACATTATCATAATAAATAAAATCGACCACAGATTCAAAGATTGATGGAATCCTATAGAAATCCGATCGGTATCCGACCGTCGGAATAAATGGGGATTTCAACAATCGGAAGTTATCGGAAGCGTATGAGTATTCGATTGTCGGATCCGATCGAAATTCTGCAAGCCGGATTCCGATCGGATTTTTGTCGGATTTTTTGGACCTCGGTTGAAAGATTGATATAATCCTATAGAAATCCGATCGGTATCCGACCGTCGGAATAAACGGGGATTTCGACAATCGGAAATTATCGGAAACGTATGAGTATCCGATTGTCGGATCCGATCGGAATTCTGTAACCCGGATTCCGATCGGATTTTTGTCGGTTTTCGGGTCCGATCGGATCCGATAGGATCCGTCGTCGGATTTTTGGACCTGGGATGTTTGCACGTGATCTTGCTGAAATAGTTATTGTGCCGATATATGCGTCACGGTACGCTGCTCCTCTTCTTTCCTTTCCTTCACTCTCCCATTGTTCTGCGTGTCATCTCTCTCCCATTGTTCTGGGTGTCATCCCTCTCCTTTGTTTCTGTATCATATATAAGTGTGTGTTGAATGTGCAATGGACACATTCTGGAGATGTAGAGTAGCTAAT